CAGATCTCAAAGGCTTAATAGCTATGTGCATATAAAATAAATATTTTATGAAATAAACTCCAAGAAAAGGAAACAAGAGACATTTTTAATTGTTGTTGTTCCTATTTTGTTTTTTTTCCCTTTTGTCTTGTTTGTCTTTGGGAAGGTAAGGGGGGGATGCAAAAAAGTTGGAACAAAGGGCAAACAAATACAAGAGTATTCACTAGACACTATTTGGAAAATGAACGGTACATCTTGTGGGTGAGGACAGGAGGAAAAAACTGAGAGAAATCAAGGGAAGGAGAGACATGGTTCAAAAAGAATTGTATTCATTACCTGACTCATGTAACGGTAACCCCTCTGTATATCACTTCTACAATAACAATAAAAGTATTTTAAATGTCAATTATGTTAAAATGTGTTAAATTTTCGAAGGTCGGAGAGAAAAAAATAATGCCCAAGTTGAATGCAACTCCTTTGGTTGGTTAATAGGTAACTTTTATACTTGAAGGAGGGGGCAAAAATTCATGCAAATGAGTTGGGAGAGGGAGATTTTATACCACTAATAAAAAAGTCTGGTTTTGTTGTTTGGTTGACTAGCTGTTTTGTTTTCAAGCAAGAGTAAAACATATCATTTAGTCTTCAATACATTATACACCCAAGGCTTCATTCTGTAGACACACCTCTCTCCAGGCCAGCCTAGCACCACACATCACAGTGGCAGCTTCTTCATCTGCAGACATAGAGCCAAGGATAAGCTGAGAATGAGGTTTTTTTCTCCTGAACCTAATGAAGCTGAAATTTCAGGGCTTCCTACTTTGAGATGCCCATTCTAAGATGGCCCAAAATTTTATAAACATCATTTTTTGGTTTGTTTGTTTTTGTTTTTTGTTTATGTTTTTTGCTTAAAGAGAAAAGTTGCTGAAGGATGCATAAAATGTGTATCCACTCTGGACGCGAGGTTGCTTGCTAACCTTCCTCAGCACTGTAGCGTTTACGGTGGCTGGCTGTGTGGATATATGGACTGAGGCCTCCACCATTTTCTGAGTGAGAGTCTGTAGTTTTACTGGCTTCTGAAAGCCATCTGTGACTTAGAAAGGTTAAAAAGCTCTGGCCTAGGAGAAACTAGCTCTTATTTCTGGTCTTGTAACACCCAGCGAACATGGGAACTGGTGGTTAAATGTCTAGACATAGCAATTTATAACTGATGTAGAACAGATTCCTGAGTGCAATGCAAGACATGGTGATCACCAGGAACATAAGATTACACACACCCTCAGATTCACCCATTCATTCATTCCTAAGCACTTACTGAGTACCTCCTCTATAAGATAGCCATGCTAGGTTCCAAGAAGTCATGGATGAACTAGTTAGCCTAATCTTGCTCTCATCTTTCTTTTCTTCTAATTTTGGCCTTGGTTTTTCCATGCTTTTGTAAGTGCTTTAGTGGCCTTATTAGGTTTATTTGGAATTCTTCCAATTTTGATGTGGACTAGTATTGCTTTTGCTTTATCCCACCAGTTTCAATCATTTTCAGTGGTTTCAAAACCTTTTTGTCTCCTGATTTCTTCAGTAAACCACCATCTATTCAGAGAACAGTACATAGTTCAGGAACTAGAGGCAGGAGGATTGCAAGTTTGAGGCCAACCTGAACAAACTACAAGACCCTGTCCCAAAGCAAAACAAAAAAAAAAGCCTAGGGATATAGGCCAAGTGGTAGAGCATTTGCCTGACATAAAAAAGGCTAAGGGTTCAAGCACACACACACACACACACACACACACACACACACAGAAACACACACACACACACTCCAAAAAATGTTATTGTTCAGTCAACATGAATTTATAAGTTTTCTACCATTTATTTTGTGGGTGACTTCTCATTGTACTCTATTGTGATAAAAAAGACCTAGGACATGGTTGAGTTTGTTTTGTGGCCTACATGGTCTATTTTAGAGAATGTTCCATAAGCCCATGAAAAGAATGTGTAGCTATTTAAATAAAGTGGACTTAACATTTCTTTGATGAAAATGGGGTGTTAGAATCCCCCATTATTTTTGTGTTGGAGCCTGTCCTTCTTTAGAGCTAGTACTGTTGGTTATATAAAGTAGAGGTACTCAGCTTCTCATGAATATAGAATTATTATTATTATCATTGAAGCTTCTTATTGAATTGATTCCTTGATTATATATAATTGTCTTTTCATACAGTTTTGTCTTAACATCTCTTACATCCAATATAAAGATAGGTGCTTCTGCTTGGTTTATTTTACGCTTTCCTTTGCATGGAACACACTTTTCCATCTTTTTACATGCAATGTATAGGTGCCATTATTTCTGAAATTTCATGTAAGAAAAATATTCCTGACTTCATTCATATCTTTTAGTTGAAAAAATTAATTCATTTATATCGAAGGTTGTTATTGATAAGCAAGGAGTTATTCCAGTCATTTTGATGATTTTCTTCTAGCTTTTAAAAATTATTCTTTGTTTTCTTCATCTTTGTAATTTGGCATTTCACTGCATGTTATTTTCTTTTTTTTTTTTCTTTTTCTTTTATTTGGGTGATCGTGGGTCTTGAATTCTGGGCTTGGGCTCTGTCCCTGAACTCTTCAGCTCAAGGCAAACGCTCTACCACTTGAGCCACAGCACCACTTCCAGTTTTCTAGTGGTTTATTGGAGATAAGAGTCTCACGGACTTTCCTGCCCGGGCTGGCTTTGACCACGATCTTCATATCTCAGCCTCCTGAGTAGCTAGAATTACAGGCGTGAGCCACCAGCGCCTGGCTTGCATGTTATTTTCTATTGACCCTTTGTATATTTACTCTTCTAGTGGGTCTTATACTTCCACATACTTTCATGATAGTAGCTGTCCATCTCTTACTTCTGACAGTTCACGTTTAAGTATCATTTGTATGGCCGACCTAATGGTCATGAATTCTGTTTTTGCTTATCTTGGGATTTCTTTCTTCTATGCTGAAGGACAGCTCTACTGAATTTTAGTCGTGTTGGTTGGCAGAGTTTTTGCTTTTTCTTTCTTTTTCCAGGACTTGGACTATGCCATTCCATTCCCTCATGGCCTTAAGATTTCTGCTGAGAAATCTGCTATTAATTCCTTAAATTTTCCATGATGATTTTCCCTTTTAGTTTTGAATTTGTTTTGTTTTTACTTTTGATAGTTTGCTTGTTATTGGCTGTGGTGAAGTTCTTTTCTGGTCATGTCTATTCAGGTTCTATGTCTAGTGACATGGATGTATCCATACCTTTCCCCAGGTTAGGAAAATTACCTATTATTTTACTCAATAAATTTTTTTGTGTTCTTAACTTTTCAAATATTGTTTCCACTTAATCACTCTGTTGTGGAGATGTTCAATGGTATGTTTTTTCTTAATATCACTTTCAGAATTCTGTATTTCAAGATCTCTGTTTTTTTTTCAATACTTAATTTCTCATTTATACTTATGTTGCCTTCCTAACTTCATTTAGCTGTGTGCTCTTGGATCTCTTGACCTTTTTTATAATCACGACTGAATTATTTCATTTTATTATTGTTTCATTTTATTAGCACATACTGTACAAAGGAGTTTAAGTGATTATTTCCAAACACATTTATTAAAAATAGGTTGCATTCTATTTTTGTATGAATATGTGAAGTACTTCAACTATATTAATCCTTCCCCTTTGGCCTTTCCTCTCACACTCTACCCTCCTGCTGAATCCAATCCCCAAGCAATATCCCCCCAATTTTATATTCATCATTTCTTTTCTTTAGAGCAATATTCCACATATGAAAGAGAACAGGCAATACATGCCTTGCTCAGTCTGCCATATTTTGCTTAACATGAGTTTTCAGTTCCATCCAGTTTTCCTGCAATTTCATTCTCCTTTAGGAAGAATGAATAGTAGTCCACTTTGTATATATGTACCATATTTTCTTTATCCAATCATCACTTGGACACGGAGGCTGATTCCATAATTGGTCTATTTTGAGTAGTGTTGCTATAAACATGGGTGTTCACAAATCCCAGTTGTATGCTGACTTACATTCCTTTGGATAAATTCCAAAGAGGGTTATAGCAAGATGATATGGGAGTTCTATTTTTGGGTTTTTGATTAACCTCTATACTGACTTCCAGAGTGGTTGCACTAGTTCACATTCCCACCAAATGTATAACCTCACTAATATTTTTATTTTGGTATCTTGATGATAGGCATTCTGATTGGAATGAAATGTGTTGATTGGCTTGTTAGAGATTTTATATTTCCTGAATATGAATCCTCTTATCCAATGAAGGGCAGGTAACAATTTTTCTCCCACTGTAGGCTGTCTTTTGACCGTGGCAATTATTTCCTTTGTTTTTCAGGTGTTTGTCTTTTTTTTTTTTAACTCATAATGGGGGGTTTGAACTCAGAGTCTTGTGCTCACAAGGCAAATGCTCTACTATTTGTCTTTTGTTACTTTTTGAATAAGATCTCACTTTTTGTCTGGGCTACCCTGGACCACAATCCTCCTATACTTTTTGCCTAAGTTGGGATATACATCACAGGTTGTCCTTGAACTGCATTCTCCAAGCTGAGTTTCCCAGCCTTTTTCCATGTCTGGCATACATAGAAAATGATAGCATTGGTAAGGCACACCTGGTTAAATGGAAGAGGTCTCTAGTCAGATCTCTTAACTGAAGTTGAGGTGAGCCCTCTTGAGGTAACAGCAGCCCATCTGAGAATCTCATTTTTTCCCTCCATAATCTGTTGCTGAGTAGACTTGACTGCACTCTATGTGAATTCTGTAAATATTTTATGAGTATAGTCTGGAAAGTCCTGAACTTGGTCTGGCCTTTAGAAAAAGGAATTGACATCCATTCCTATTTTGGGGCCACCTGGGCCATGGTAGGTGTTCCTGTGTACCCATGCGAGAGGAATAAAGAAATGGTAGCACCTTTTAGAAACCCAGAGCTTGCTTGATACCACCAACAGGGCCTTCTCTGCATATGAACATTGGTTTTCCTCCCTTTCTTTATAGGAATTCAGAAACAGGCTTGGGAATCATGCAGGTTCGGCATCCTACACCTCTACTGAAACTCAGCCCACCTCAGCAGTCTCCAGAGTGGCGCTAAACCTGCAAAGACTCCATCAAGACTGTGCACTGAGGACAGTGGCGGCTCTCGCCTTGCTTGCGTTTCTTCTTGCTTTTCTTGCCAAGGTCTACAATTAGAGCCCAATTAGAGGCGTCTGTGCACAAGAAGTTTCTAACTCAAATCTCCTGTCCCAGGGGACAGGAAAGTGGCGCATCCGTTCTCAAAGGGCGGGCATCTGACCAGCTCGTTCAGCCTACTCTTCAACTCCTTTAATGATTCTCTGCCGTCTCACATAGAGTTAGGCCCATTGGCTGTTTGACCTAAAAGTGAATTACAGCTGGCATAGACTGTCTTTCAAATGAAATTCCTTTTAGCTTATTTCTTAGTAAGAAATGCCAGTGATTGTATTAAAAAAGAAAGAAAGAAAGAAATTCTCTACTCTTCAAGTCTGAATCTACCACACAGTGGCTCTAGTCATCTTTTCCTGATGTGGAAAAAAAAATGTCATTTGATAATAAACATTTTTAAGCGTGTCTTCCTCTTCATGCTTTGTTTAGAATCCCAATTCTGCAAACATCTTTGGTGTTTTTGTTGTTGTGGTTTTGGATTTTTTTTGGTCAGTCCTGGGATTTGAACACAGAGCCTGGGCACTGTCTCTGAGCTTTTTTGCTCAAGGCTAGCATTCTACCACTTTGAGCCATAGCACTACTGGGTTTTGGGGTGGTTAATTGGAGATAAGAATCTCACAGGCTTTCCTGCTTGGACTGGCTTTGAACCACGGTGCTCAGATCTCAGCCTCCTGAGTAGTTAGGATTACAAGCATGAGCCACCAGCACCTGGCATAAACATCTTTTTCACAAAGAGATTTTCCTGTACAGTTTATATGGAGATCTATTTTGGGAACCTTGCTCCTCTTGGAATGTATCAGCAGAATCTACCACTTTGAAGGACTGTTGCCAACCTTTGGTGAACTCTGAAGAACCACCCACGTCTACAGCACCTACCAGAAAAAAGGATTTGTCTACACCCACCAGGTCCCTTCTCTGACATTGGTGAGCAACTAGGACACATTTTTACCTTGACGGGACACCATCAGTCTTTACTAAATGAATGATTTCTTTCACAATAAAAGAAATGGATTAATAAGCAATCCTATGTATCAGAATTTCAGTATGTGGTTTGCATTGTATAAGCACAGGAAAATCAAGTGCCTTGGGATTGTTTTAATTTCTAAACCTATGCCCTCATGCAAATTTTCTGTGTTTTGTAAGGTCCCCAGATCAAAACTTTGTCATCAGTTGGCAAATGAACACAGACTCTCTCTCACCCTCCATCCCTTCCCCGCCCCCTCCCATCTCTCAATGTGGGTGCAGTTCCCCTAAGCCTGAAATGTGCTTCTAAAAGGAGCTGTTTAATTATAAAGCCCTGCCGGTGTCCCTCTCTGTCCTGTGGTCAGACATCCACTGGGAGCGTGCCTCACTTCTCAGCAGAACAGAGAGACCGCCACCTCCTCCCTTTCCTGAACTCTGTGCATGGTTGGTTGGTTCCTAAACAGTGGGCTCCGCTGTGGGGTTTGTGTAACAAACACCTTGCACAGATCAAAATACTAACCAAAACCTAGAGTAGGCTGTCGGAAAAACTTCATGCCCACAACTGGATCAAAACAGATGAATTTTTCTGGAGTAAACCCTGGGTATTATCAGAGCCATGGTCCTGAGGAGATCCTTGAGGAAATGCCAGCCATGCTCAGAGTGCAGAGTTCAGTGATCTGCAGGTGCTTGATCCATTTTCCCATAGCCCACACCTTCACTGAACACAGGCTACTTTTCAACAAATCTCAGATTTTCACTGCATCATTTCAGTGAAGCACACTCACGTTGACCTTGCCTTTAGGCTAACCACTTGCTCTTTGGAGACATTGTGTTCACAGAATTAAGGGTGGGGAAACAACACAGCAGATCATGCGATTTCAACACCGCTGGGAACGGGCCCAGAGCTTCTCCACGTTATCTGAGCCTTGCCATCTGCACATAGGACCTTAACAGCTAGGTTTTGAAACTTATTCGGATTAAAAAACTACATATAATGAACACACACAAATAAGATGGACTTACTCTCGTTTCTCACATTTTCCCTCCCTCTCACAGCTTTCTTTCCTTCTCCATTTTTTTTTTTTACCTGTAAGAAATGGTCATACCCAGCCATTCAGTAGCCACTGCCCACTGGACAAGCTCAATGTGATCTACAAGGACTGTTTCAATAGTGCAGGATTCTCCCCCAGAACCATGACCTGCCCTCTGCTAGGTCCCACTCCACTTTGCAATTTGGTCCAGCAAAGAACCAAAGCCTTTGCCCTGCAGCCGGGACTGGATCATTCAGTGTCTGTCAATCTGCTGATGGCCAGGAGTAGAGGGACAACAATGCTGTGAAATCTAGCTTTCCCTTTCCTATCAGCTGGTGCTGGAGGGAGGGAAGGAAGAAGATTGGGAAGGAGGACTCTGAGACGAGCCTGGAGCTGCAGAAGCAATGGTGACTGAGGAGAGTGACCTCTCCAAATGCCTCCTTCCTGCCCGGTGCAGCACCATCACTACCCTTGTGATGCCGGCATGCTTACGGAGCCTGGCTTTAGCTAGTGAGCTGCCTGTGTGAGAGTCACATCAGTCTTTGTACACCCATGTGCAGAACCAGAGTACATGGTCACCTGCTGTCCCCATCACTGGGGCTATTGTGGATCCGTGTGTCTAGATGGTACTTTGTTCAGCCTGGGTCTTCAAGTTCATGTGAGGGGCCCTGCTCCCTGCTGGCACCTGCTAGACCTGTGTCAGGACCTGTGTTGCTAAACACTAAAGCTGTGGTCTTGAGCTGCTGTGATTTTAGGATGACCATAACACAACCTGATTTTTCCCAAGAGACACCATCCTTGATAAGACATGACCTACAGGTTCCAGACATAAATGGCCACTGGGCCTGGGTGCTGTCCCTGAGCTTTTTCTGCTCAAAGCGAGCACTCTATCACTTGAGCCACAGCACCACTTCCAGCCTTTTTTGAGTACTTTATGGGAGATGGGTCTCACAGACTTTCCTGCTTGGGCAGGATCCTCAGATCTCAGCCTCCTGAGGCATGAGCCACAAGCACCTACTCCTTTTTAAACTTTATTCTTATTTTTATCTGTCTTCTCTGCTAAGAAGGAAAGCTGTGAAGATATCTTTTCAATGATTTTGGTCAATAGTTTTTTAAAATTATTAAAATAATACATGTCTGAAAGTGAACTAAGTCATAAGGACTCAAAAATTAAGTACACATTGTAGCAAGCACCAAAAGTTTCCACATGCACTGTCCTAGCCATTAACTCCACTTCCCTAACGGTAAGCGCTGTCCTTATCACTAACATTGTAAACTGGTCTGCCTATTTAGAAAGTTTTTATGAAGGAAATCATGCAATACACACTATTTCATGTCCCCCTTCTTTTGGGTCAGCTTTGAGTTATGCATCCACAGTATTGTTTTAGCAGTAATTTGTATTCATTGCTGTATAGTGTTCTAAGAGTACCACATTATGTTTACGCATTCTACATTTCACTATTTTTCCAATTATTTGCCTGTTATGAATCACGTTGATTTATTAAGATATTTAGAACACATTAAGTGTGTGAGTGATGAATATCCATCTAATAATGGAATTGCTGGGTCGCAGTGTTTGCACATGTTCAGCATTACTAGATACTACCATTTTCTGAAGTGGATATACCACCAGCAGGTGAACCATTATTTTTTTCTTCATACTTTTGCTATTTGCTCTTCAGCAGAATAGCAAATACTTCTGCAGCCTCCCTTCAATAAGACATCTCTATTTTAATGACGATATTGACAACTAGCCCTTAAATGGAGTAGACCTAGACTGTGCATTTTATCAGTGCTAATGAATCCTGAAGAAGCAACTTTCGGATAGGCATTATTCCTGTTTGACTTAAAAAAAAATTAAAGACTCAGAAGACTAAAAGTACATACATCTGACCAAAAAAAATTTGGAAACTCACTGGGTATGATGCATGCCTGTAATTCTAGCACGAGGATGGTGGGGGCAGGAAGACTACACGGGAGGCCAGAAACAGAGAGAATTAAATCCCACTCCGGGATATAGAGTCCCTGACTCAAAAAAAAGAAAAACAGTTGAAAACCTACAAGATTAAATAACTCGTGCAGGGCACAGAGCTAAGGTGGAGAGGCAGAGCTTGACATTGGCCTGACTACAAAGCCTACTATAGACGCCTGTGCTGTAAATCTTGCTGCTCCTTCATCTTCTGGATTTTTTGGGGGGTGGTGGGTCAATCATGGGGCTTGAACTCTGGGCCTGGGCACTGCCCAGCCCAAGGCAAGTGCTCTACCACTTGAGCCACAGCGCCACTCCCAGTTTTCTGGTGATTAATTGGAGATAAAAGTCTCATAGACTTTCCTGCCCAGAGTAGCTTTGAACTGTGATCCTTAGATCTCAGCCTCTGGAGTAGCTAGGATTACAGGTGTGAGCCACCTGCGCTCAGCTCATCTTCTGGATTTTGACCTCTGCCAATTGGTATGTACCTAGGACTGACTGTGAGTGCCTGGGTTCTGAAATATGTACTCATTTTGGGGAACATGTACTCAATTCTGTATTGTCTTGTTCCAAGAATGTATATGTTACTTAATAAACACTGGAAAAAATATACATTAATGAAGTTTCTTTTTCTTTATTCTTCTCTTTCCTTCTAGGCCTTCCTCCATCAAGTATAAAGGTGTCAATTTGAGAACATAAAAACGTATCTGGTAGGGGCTGGAAAGGTGGCTCAGTGGTAGAGTGCTTGCCTCCCATGCATGAAGCCCTGGGTTCAGTTCCTCAGCACCACATAAATGGAAAAGGCTGGAAGTGGCATTCTGGCTTAAGTTGTAGAGTACTAGTCTTGAGCTGAAGAGCTCAGGGACAGCACCCAGGCCTAGAGTTCAAGCCCCATGACCAACCAAAAGCAACAAAAATTATCTGGTAGAAACTTCTCTTTTTACTGGGGATTAGATTTCCATATGTACTTCAGTAAAACATATACTGTTTCTTTTCAATTCACTCCAGGATAAATATTTCAGGGTGCCATAGGAGAAGTGATACAGGGAGAATTTTAGTTACAAATAAAGCTTCAAGAGGCTTTATCATCATAAAATGAAAGAAAAAAAAGAAAGGAAAGAGAGAAAGGAAAGAAAAGAAAGAAAGAAAGGGGCAGCATATGATGAGCAGTCTGTAATTCCAGCTAGTTGGGAGGTGGAGATTGAAAGCATCACAGTTCAAGATGAGTCTAGGTAAAAACACAAGGTTCTATCTGAAAAATAAAGCAAAAAGGCTGGGAGGAAGGGCAGGTCAGGAGGGGGAAAACTGGCAGAAAATGAGGGAA